TACATAACGCTTCCAGATAGGTGTGCTCCCTTAAAAAAGAAACGAAGCGAAGTTCCGGAATAGCTGCATAAACCGGTTATAATCCGAGATCGTGAAATGGAACAAGTCGAACGAAAAACCAGGAAAAATTCATGTTTTAAGTTTGTCATAGAATTGCATCAAATTATCGATTATCGTAAAAAAAATTTAATATGCTGCGTCGCGTAGTATTTATCAATATGCCGTATTAAACGATAAAGTTAAAGGAAATTGCAAGATGTCACTTCCAATTATAATGTCACATTTCCGCACAACTGACTCTTTCTACGGCGAATATTTTCCACGAAGACTCGATCAAGACAGATCTACGATAGATCTCGATCGCCTCGTAAATTATCTTAATGAGTTCCCGATGAAATCTGTTTTTTACATTCTAATTCTAAGATTGCGTTCAGAAATGCGCGGAATATTTTATCCGTATAGAAATAAAAGAAAAGAAAAAAATCTATCGCTTCGATTGCAATTAATCGCTTTCCGCGAGTCCTCGAGCGAGAAGGTAAATTTTATATTAAAACACGTGCGGACAATTATCGTTAAGTAGCTGTGAAAACAGAGCCCGACATGCAATAAATTATGAGGCGGCTAAGAGCGTTTTTAAAAAGCGCATTCTCGCAACACGATATACGCGAGCGTTGCATCAAATATAGCATATAATTTTTAGTAACTACGACTTAACTGCGACGAGATAAACGAATTTATTTACGCCTCCTATTGCGATATCTCGAATTCCTGTATGCGATTTGACAACAAAATATAACGTTACCCTCTCGCATTCTGTTTTCCATAATAATTTTATAATTAATAAATTCCTCCCACTTCAGATTCTAACTCGGTATCGATATTGCCTCAATAAAAAATATCGCTGTCATTTATAAATATTCGATAATTCGTTTAAGAAGCTTTAGGTACATGTTGATCGATATTTTTGTGTATGTTATCTCAATTAAAATCCCATTAAAGGCTCTAATTTTGACATGAATAATATAGATTTCTTGGGGCGAGTTCCCTGTTTATATACACGTGCGCCTATTTCTATGCCAGTTCTATGCACGTTGCCTTCGCACGTTGCTTAAACCAAACGGGATAGCGGTATTGGCTGTCCGTTCGTTATCGTCAGCCAGCGTACGCAGCTGGCGGCCGTGACAGCGGTATTAGCGGTAACGGTGGCCGAAAGAACCGCGGTCGCGGTTAGTCGGACCGCAGTCCACGTCGACGGCGGTTGTGTGCTCTTGAAAGACTCTCTTCGCGACTGCAGCGAACTTTGCTCGCGCGCCGGACAATGAAAGACACAACGGACGAGAATCAAGGTATGTCCCGACGTTGAAAATAAGAAAATGCGGCAAGGAACTGAACGGAATCGCGCGTGGAGAACCAGAATTCAAAATATCCCTTGGAAATACATTCTGAGACTGTTACAAATTGCATAAAATATATATCGTGTTCTAAACCGATAAATAGGAACCAGATTCTATTTAGTTTCTACTTATTGTTAGAACGAAATATGTTTGCGACGATGCAGTAGTCGGAATTTGAGTAATTAATTACGCTGCAAGAATCAACTCCGATGGACAGCTTTACTTAGAAAGAAGGAAGAAAGACATTAATATCATTGGCTACGGGCAATAAGCACATTTTGTCGAGCACGACGAGCTCCGTTGCTATTTTTACGTCGGCTTTAAGGATCGACACTACATATGTTGTATTCTTCGAACCTTAGCGCATCATGTGAGAGTACGCTACGCTTGTCACGCTCGCGCATATCAATGTGATATGCAGCGCAAACGCAAACTCGTGGCCGCGAACGCGCGTCACAATCGCATCGCGTGTCTCGCGCGCCACGTGCGAGGACGTTCTATTTTCGCACCGCGAATTTTCGACACGAAAACCGAGCGCAGCTCTCTCCGTACCGTATCCAGCTCTCCGGTTTCTTCAGCCTTGTCCAGACCAGTCCAGACCAAACGGAACGTTGTCGGAAACACGTGTTGCCGCGACAGTGCATTCGACAAAATTCAATTTTGAATCTAAGAAATTGTAGGATACTGTCACACACATTGTTGTCGACAAATATTGCAAGCAACTTAGGAATGTAGGCGACATCGTGTCGACGACAATGTTTCTCGGTCTAGACGAAGCTTTCGTATAACAGCGAGAAGAGGCGGATGTAAATAGGTGCACGTGAGCGAACTCCGCTGTATTAGTCATTATTAAATATTGTTTTACCTCCTTCTTCGAAGCAGAGTCGTCACATTCCTTCCTCTTCTTTTTCTTCTTCATCGGAGTCTCTCCACAATTCCTCAGGATAAGTATTTGTCTGCCGGGCCTGGCGGCGGAAAGAAACGAGAAAAAAAGTTTAACTATACGAGAGAAAGAGATGAGAGGCAAAAGTAAACTGTAAGAGAGAAAGATACGAGAGATGAAATTAAGATGCAGCTAGGCAGAGACTGTAGTCAAAACGACATTAAATAACGTGGTGCTGCAATCCCGCTAGTTGAAAATTTACTTAAAGAAGAAGAAGAAGAAGAAAAACGAAGAAGAAGCAAAGGTAAACATTCATTTAAAGAAGAAGAAAATATAAATCTTGGACATATATAGGTCCACCTTTTGTCATTGCAGGGACAAATCTACGTATTCAGATTCTAAAAGTCTCGAAGGAGAGACGTGCAAAGAGTTCAGGAGGTGTGTAATTAAGATGCAACCACGGCGATGTAACTGGACAACTTCGCCTTGTGTTTCATAATGTCGCATTTACTCGCAGTTGAGCGTTAATTATGAATCGACAAGAATTTTATAGACTCGCAAGTCACGCTTTGTTAGAACACGCCAACGATACACGCTCACGTAGCCGCGTGAAAACGTAAAAGTGTGACGTACAGGGTATCCGGGAAAACAAGATTGATCTTAAAAACAGATTAAATATATTTATTTTCAGCTGCATCTTTCGTATATATAAATAATTTTTTTACATTGCGAGCAGATACGTGATTAGAATTTCAAAGAAAAAACGCAGGTAGCTGCGAGGAGATGTGGAAAGCGCTGCCGAGAAAAAGGGAAAAAAGATAAATTTATTTAGAAGAGTGCTTCAGAGGTTTCTTTCAGAGAGAATGACGTTTAAAGAATTTTTGAAATTCAAATTTCACAAAGGGTAAACTGCTTCTCGATTATTCTTCCCCTTTTATAAATTTCGCGTCGAAGACGCGAGAAATAATGGCCTGAGAAAGAAACTCGAGGTTTCGACTCCGGACACCCTTTATATCGCTCGACTTTGCACATTACACGTCGCCTCGTTTCTCACTCGAGGACTCGCGGAAGAAAAGGAGAAGACGGAACAGAGACGGAACGGACACATTCACGTCCGAGGATGTATCACAGCGAAAGTTAATCTCCTGACCGGGATTCGAAATTTGCACGAGAATTAAAGCGGCGGACTAGGGTTCGTTCCTCGTAACCCGAGTACCTACTTCATATTTTTTTTTCATCATCTTTTTTCTTTTTCTTCGATGCGTAAATACACACCTATCTTATTTTAAGTATTAGCATAGCACAGCTGTGAGGATCAGGTTTTGAGCGATATATTTCTGTCTGTACCCACATAGCATGCATATCAAAAAGACGTCCAGAAAATATCCCGCGAAGATATCCTATCTCCTAAATATATCTTCAGGATATCTCCTGGACGTCTTTTTGATATGCATGCTATCATGTGGGTATGTTAACCCAAAAACGGGCGCCTGGAGTGATTTTTACCCCAAGTTGAAAGAATAAATCTCACGTCAGAGAATAATTTTAATGTGTTTCTTTCGGTTTTTTAATATTTTTTGGTCTCTCCTTACTTTTTTCAGAAAAAAAGTTGAGTAAATCTATATACATATTGTGCTCAAATATTAATTATAAAAAAAAATAAAAATATGTAATTAATAACAATGACTTATTTTAATTAGAGTATAAAAAAATCACCCCAAGTGATATAAAAACCTTTAAAAAAATCAGGCGCCCCTGGTTAAACAAAGTTAATAGATGCTTTCCATTTACATCAAAACTCAAATAATTCTCACTTGTGACGTCATTCTCTGTCTTTATTATTCATTAAATTGCCAACAAGGATAGAACGAGTCACAATAAGTGAGAATTATCTGAGTTTTGATGTAAATGGGAAAAACCTAATAATTCTATCTATGTTAATAGTACACAATATTGATAATTTAAACGACCAAAACTGAGTTAAACAAGAGTTTGATCGAATAAGTTACCTCGTAATCCAATCTTCAAAATCGTTTCAAAGTACGATCTCGTGACGCTGTACGTTCCATCGACTTAAAACTACCCACAAGGGTTCGAAGTTAAAATCAGATGTGGAACGATTTTGAATATAGGGTCGGACCGTGCGATTACCACCCTTAACGAACGGAAGGGTTGAACGATACGGCGCACGGCGCTGCCAACCCTAACCTGATCTGACGTACGCTGCGACAGTGCGACGGCGGCCGGCGTCGGGGGCGTCGGGACGTCTCTGTCCACTGCGGTCATCACCTCGCTGCAGCGTCCGCGACACGTGTCGCGCGCGTGGTCGCGCGGCATGACGATAGGTATAAGCTCACCCCCGCTCAAACCCTTATCCTTGGCGATCGAGAAACGCTGGTCCACGTTCGGGCGCGGATCTACGGCGAAGAAAACGGACGAGGGAGACGAAAAATAAGCGAGCGAATCTCCGGGTGATGCGACGCCGCAGTGCTGTCCACCCTCCCGGCCGCGCGTGTCTTTTCATAGTTTTCATCGATCTTCCACGCGGGAGTAGCGCGTGCCAGCGATAAATACGACACGCATCGTCGTCGCCGTCTCGTTCCCTTGCAAGACGTTTTGCACATCCGATGCATTTATCCGCGCGATCTTGGACGCTTCGCGTCCTCTGGGTGACACAGCACTCGAAGGGGTGTACACTGCAATCTTTTTCCTTATGCTTGCAGAGACCGACGTGTCCGCGCTGTGCATCGATGTGTCGAGGGTGAAATCGTTGGCCGGAGAACCGCGGAAATCCGTAAGTCACCTTTATTCTCCTTGTCGCAGTTTGCTGTCGTGTTTGAATTTTTTGTATAGTGACGCAGCCGATTATTATCTCTCGGCCCTTTCTTGAAAACAAGGGTTTTACTTTTGCCGTTATCGCTATAATTACTCTTTAACTCTTTGCGGTCCGAATTATTTATCGTAAATGAACGAGGTTCAAGTGTCTCGTTTAATTGGCGGACCTAATAAAAATAAAAAAATTCTTATTATCTAGAGGGATTTATGAAGATCCCGAAAGTACAATTTGCATGCTCATTATAATTTTGCATCTGATTCGGATGTATGGAAATACTATGCGATAGATCACCACGAAACATAATAAATTGATCAAAGACAAAGGAGCATCGAGCAGTAACATTATATAATAAATTGAATCCAGCTCGACGCAGGACATCAAAGGGTTAATATTATTCCGCGTATCTTTATGAAAGTAGTTGTTAATAATTCGATAGAGCTATACCGTTGCCTGTATATCCTTTGCGAGTGGTACAGGCTTTCGCAGAAAACGTTGTTATCAGAATAATTTAAATTATCGCATATATATAACGAGCGTTTAAAAGATTATTAGCGCCTCGTATGCGAGAAAAGTATGTATTTTACGAAAACTTTTGCGCCAGGTACTCAATGGCAAGTCAATTTGTATCGTGTGATATATTTCTTTTTACATCACGTATAGCGAACAAGCTCAAATTATTATACGGACAGTTAATGTCGATGCAGTAGATTATTATTATTCTAATCAGGACAAAAACAAAAAGATACAACGTACAAGTGTACTCGAATGATTATATTGGCGATCATTTCATTCAATCCTGATTTTGTTAATTCAATCGGAGTGACGCATATCTCAATTATCACGTCACGCCATTTTCACTTCTTCCAAACCAGCTAGTTTATTTGCTTCTCTAATCCCCCGCAATATACTATCATTTAAAAGTAATGTGACTCTCTGGTTTTTCTATAGATACTTTTCTATGGATTACTAATTTTTGATATTATAATCTTGGTGATTTTTTCTTTTTAATCATATATATAACTTTAATTATAAATTATACAATAATTTAATATATTTTTTAATATACATATTTTCCCTGGATGATTTAAAATTTCTTCTACTTTGATCTATTACAGTTTAATTGATTTGAGAACAAAGTTGAGCGAGCCGTTATAAGTTTATTAAGTAATTAAGATGCTCTCTGTATATCTCCTTGTAATAAACAGAATTATACATCAAAGTAGTGTAGTCGATACAAGTGAAGTTTTCAAAGAAAGTGCTGAGATTATGAATATATTAAAGTATCGCTAATAAATAATTGATCGCTTTGCTAATGTGACACTCACGATTTATATAGTGATATATGTTACTTTATAATGTGGTATATTAAACTGAGGAAATATCTATCTATATTTATAGAATTATCAGAGCCGGAATACATCACAGATATGGATATTGTAGCCAAAATTTGATTCTTTGACAGAAGGGTAGAGCATGTGTGCGCGTGTGTATGCCCTTAAGACAAACGGTCGGAGGGTATATTCGGGTTCTATGACAAATTCATAATAATGCATGGTTGGCTATCTAAACAGTTTACAGGTATGCCCATGGTGTGTGGTTTTGTTGAGTTTTGTTCCATCATTCCGTCCTGGCTTTTCCATGTTATCACTGATTGGTCTACGAGGGTGCAGAACACACTACATATTGCTTACGATGCTTAGTTACGTGAGCGGTATGGTCTTCTGATTTTACATATCGTAAATTTTGTATTTTAAGAGATTGGTGAAGCCCGTACGCTACCTTAAATGATATCGACGTGTCCGCTTATTCGCGAAAATCGGAACTTCTTTTTTTCTCTCTTTTTCTACAAGATCAGTAAAGAAGAAGAAAATTTAGTTGGAAATATTCATTAGAGATTCGCTAGGATTAATTACGTTGATATAATCCAATTATAACCCGCAATATCACAATGTGTTAAACGATCTTTATTATTAATTATTATGCAAAGCGGACGATATCTGAGGATTCTGGGTCATGATATGAAATTATCAGAATTCATCTTCCATACATCGCCATATTAAGACTCGTGCCATCAGATGCTGCAAGTAACGTTTATAGATTATGTTGCAATTTGTATTTGCATTAAACACATTATTTGCAATCTTTACGTGACTATACTGCTGAACAGAGAATAACGGTAGCTCGTAAATATTATAATAATCCGCAAGTTGTGCTATCCGTAAAAATTAACAGATAAATTTTTTGAGCTGTATCGCCCCTGTTACGCATAATAAATGTTTGTTGTGCGTAATAAGCCATTCACCTTTCACTTAAAAGGAGAAGATTAGAAGAAACGCTTTTTCTGGTATGACATAATTTCTGACCCGTGTAATTTCTTTTATAGGAGTGTAATAATGCACACGATGCCGATCCCGGTGGATGGACACCGTTGCTGGTACTGGGCGGTGCCACTTGCTGCCTGGGATCAGCATTACCAGCAGGATATAACATAGGCGTCATGAACAATCCTGCTCATGTTCGTAGTAGACCAATATGCGATTCCGTCGAGCACGCAGTGTTATCTGAAACTATACTGTCGTATATTCGGCTTACAGCTTATGCAATCGTTCTGCAATGATAGTATCTGGGAAAAATATAACGTACAGTTGTCCAGCCATGAGCTCCAGATACTCTGGTCCGCTATAGTATCGGTCTTTCTTATCGGAGGTGTGTCTGGATCTTTAATTGCCAGTTGGCTGAGCGACAGATTCGGACGGAAAGGCGCGCTGAGCGTTGGAAATATTTGCGGGATCGTAGGAGCTGTTCTGTTCTTGCTCGTACGAACCATGAACTCGGTCGAGCTTTTTCTAATTGGCCGAGTGATCGTTGGTGAGTCAAGGAATCGTTAAGATTTAACCTTTCATCTTTCACCGGTCCTAATTGGACACTTATAATTAATGTGAAAGCACATAATTATAGCGACAGGCATAATTTTAGCTGAAGGCAAGTACGAGCCTTCAATTTCTTTCTTCAATTTGGTTTTTGAATCTGCGTGATATATAATGTTTCGGAATATTCGTAGGACTCTCTGGCGGTCTAGCTACTGCTTTGCTCCCGATGTACATGACAGAAATAGCGCCTTTAAAATTGAGAGGTGCCGTCGGAGTCTTGTGTCAATTGGGCATCACCTGTGGCGTGCTGATGGGCCAGATCGCCGGGCTCAACACTGTCTTGGGCACTCCCGAATCCTGGCACATAATGTTAGCATCTTTCTCACCGCTATGCCTCATCGCATTATTATTAACTATCACTTTGCCAGAAAGTCCAAAGTATCTGTACATAATTAGAGGGGAACAGGGAAAGGCTCTTAAAGGTGCGTACAGCTGTTTTACGAACGACCATCCGAGTGTATAAGTTTTTAATCGTTTCACAATCTACGTTTTAGCTCGTGTTTATCACTTTTATATTATGAATTCTGATTCTTTTTAGAACTTAGTCGTTTGCGCAACATGGACATAATGCTCCTGCAAAACGAGATTGCTGGCTTGCAAGAGGAACTAGCGGTGAGATCGACAAGCAAGACGTGGAGCATTAAGCGCGTGTTGAAAGAGCCGACCGTGAGACTACCTCTATTCTTAGTGTGCCTCATGCAATTTGGTCAGCAACTCAGTGGCATTAACGCAGTCTTTTACTATTCGAACACGATATTTCTCGGGGCTGGCCTGGGAATTACCGGTGCTCAATATGCGACCCTAGGCACTGGTGTCGCAAACATCGGGATGGCAGTTATCTCCGTGCCGATAATGTCATTATTCAGCAGAAGAAAAGTATTCTTCCTGAGTTGTTACTTATGCATAGGATGCCTTATCGTCCTGCGCATCTCTATCGCACTACTCGTAAGTAAACAGTTTTAGTAGCATTGTATATTAAAATTTTACGATTTTATCATGTTACAATTTCAGTAATGTATGTAGATGATGGATTAAAAAAAAAATAATGTTAAAATTAATCTTTATACAGCACAAAGCCTCGTTCATGCCATGGGTTTGCACTGTCTCGGTGCTAGCGTACGTTATATTTTACGGCATTGGTCTCGGTCCTATACCGTTTTTCATCGGCTCCGAGCTATTCGACGTCGGTCCTAGACCTGCCGCTATGTCGTTAGGTAGCGTGTTCAATTGGGGAGGGAACTTCCTCGTCGGGATGATGTTCCCCTTGTTACAGGCTGCGATCGGCTCGTACGTCTTCCTAATCTTCGCTGGGGCCATACTGATCTTGGTGCAGATCAATCAGTACGTAACACAGTTTTATTGTTGTTAGTCAACGCACTGTACTCTGTTCGCAGCGTAACGTGAACTGTTGTTATTTGTTACAGAATCTACTTGCCTGAAACGCGAGGTCGAAGTACGACGGATATAGCGGCAGCCATGACTCAAGGTTTCAAGGCAAGACCGAATGCAACACTCTTTGCGTAGATCAATTGCTTAACGTAACTCGATTAAGTACTTTTTATACGGTTTTTTAACAAAATCAACAAATTGTTGTTACACTCGTACGCGAGTGACATTTCGCGCGTTGCTCACAACCGGTTTCATACGATCGAATGCACGAGTAATTTATTCGAGCGAGATTCAGGTACACCATGCGAGCGAGTTTTATACACTATTGTCTATTTGTATATATTCCATCCCGTAAATATCGGAAGCAATGGCGTAGAATGGTATCTCGTACACGCGAAGATGATTAAAGTAGCGCGGCTAGGATTTTTACATTTTATACAATATCACGTACGATCACTGCCAATACGTAACATCAATTTATTCGAAGAGTTGCAATATTTAATATTCAACGTTCTTGAAAAATCTTACAAAATTTTCGCTGCGCACATACATACCTATAGTAAATACATATAATTTATACAAATTTGCAACTAGCATCAATTGGGTCGTGTTCTAAAATTGCTGTATAGTTGATCTAGCTGCTCGTAAAATACCAGGCACAGAACCGTATGCGGCGCTATCCTCAACCACGTTGGGAACGTTCCTTTGTACAGACCGGTCAGACCCTCAGTACGGAATATCTTGATGAGCGCGTCCCCGAGTCCTTTGTACAGGGTACCTTTTCCGTTGGCGTCTGTCTCTGCATTTGCATACGTTTAAAATCACACATTTAATACAAGCTGATGACTTTCAAAGACAGCAATAAAAACGCATAAAGTTCGCTTTCTTTACGAAATTTGCGACGCTATTAAACGGTCTGGCGTAAGGGTGATACACCAATTCCTCGATTTTCTAAATGTTCTCTCTAATCGAGCGTTTCACATTACGGTGTCAAGAAACTTTATGACGAGTCCTTTACGCAAAGCATATTTATAGTCACCCGCGTTAGGATCGTATTTATAGTTGCGCATTACATCGCATTGTATTTATAGTCGCGTATGCCAAGTTAATATATTACCGTGAGATGCGATTTTGAGTCGAGCGAACGCGACAGGAAGTGATATTTTATCGGATAAGAATGAGTACGTTCTACATTTTGCCGAACGAATCCGACTCTCTTCTCTCTCGACGAGAGTTTATACAAAATTTCAATTTTGTGCAAATGTCGTTCATTGTTATAAGTTAACACGACACAATCGTGGCCTTTGATAAATCGCGCGTTTAACGTTTAGCAGATACTACGCAATTTCTTGCGCAGTATACTTACGTTGATTGTACAATCGCGTGGCCAGGACGTCGAACGGCTGCATGGTGATGGCTACGCAACTACCTCCGATCACGGAGGCCAAGAAGGTCAGCAGTATCGGGCGATCTGGAAATATCTGAAAGAAATTAAGAACGCTCCGTTGCGCCGTACAGCGACGAGTGATCCTCGAATCTCGCACTGAGGTCTACCGGACTACCGATCGGCGCTTTCATACACCTCGATTTAGGAAATCTAAACTGCAGCCTTGATGGAAAAATGTCTTAGATTTTTTTGTACGAATTGGAACGTTTTTCAGAACAACTCACATCAAATAAAATGAAATATTTTAGAATTTTCTTGTATCCAACACATCTTTGTAGAAATAAATATGCGGAATTTATCAGAAATTTTCATACATACAGAAGTATCTGAAAAATTTTACATATGATTTCAGAATTTTTTACAAGACAATCTAAGACATGAGAAATTCTTAGACAATTTCTAAGAAAATATAAGAAATTTTTTCACCCCAAAGAGAGATTAAGATTTCTTTTATATTTTAAAGTCATGGCACGCGTGACCGGCATTCCTTTGGTTGCTCGCCGGCCAAATTCCTTTCGAAAATTGCTGGCGTCGACGAGAGCGAAGGAAACTCGAGACCTCAATGCGAGGAGGGAGGTATCTGGAAACGAGCGTGGAGACGATCAAGTGTCATTTACATTTAACGAGCGCAGCCAGTCCGACGCTAATCCGAAGGTGGTCAGCTGCGTCGCCGAGCCAACGAATACGCGCGGCATGTTGGCGTTCCATCCTCGATATAGAGCCGTGATGCCACCCTCCATCCACAGGAACCTGAAGGCGTCCCACGAACCTGAGTGATTGTGCTGGTAGCCTACGGCGATGGTTTTCGCGGATTGCGCCTGTAACTGCGTCTTGACCTGGAATAATTGTACATACGATCCGATTAATCCACGTGCGAAGTGTAGCGCGCCGACCCGAAACTTATTACCTACATTTCTAGGCAAAGATATTTTTTTATATCTTATACTTTTATTAAATCAACTTTTGGCCAGAGACATTTGTACGTGTTCACTTGCGAGCAACCATACTTTTTAGTTTATTTTATGCCGTATCTTGTAAATCTATTTCGTAATTAATTTTATTCAAGATCACTTCGTGGCAAATCTGATGTAAAGTATCCTTCAAGTTCTCGAACGGGTATAGGTGCCATTAAATCTTGAAAATTTTAAAAATCCTCATTGTAACAGGATGTGTATAATTTTGTATGTATTAGAAGGAACAGTCAACGGAAGAATCAATTTCAAGTTATAGTGTATATATCTTGATGAATAAAGAGACTCAAGGGCGATCGAGTAGATGATTACCAAATACAACGGACTGCCGAGGACGGCGCCGAGGCAGCCGGCCGTGCCGGACACCAGGGTGGTCCGCAGGACATCGGTGTTACCTCGCTTGTCGACGATCAGCTCGTACCTCTGAGCGGACTTGTACACACCCAGGCGGATGCCGTTGAGCACCACCTGGAAGGCGAGCGCGGGCACGAGACCCGCTTGCAGGGCCAGCACGCCCTCGTGCTTGGCTATGAGATACGCGGCGTGCAGGGTGTTCTTGTAGATCTTCGTGTACGAGCCCCGGGCCTCCAGCTCACCCTGCAACTGCAGCCGCACCTTCACCACGTCCATGGGGTTCGTGAAGAAGCCGGCGCCCACCGCCGCCAGGGCGCCGATCGCGAACTCCACGCCCGGTCTGAGGAAAATAGAAGTTGAGGAGTTAGAGAGATAGTCGAAAGTAAAAAAAAAAGTATCCTATTTCCTTTCCTTATCCTAATTTACGAATGTTGGAAAGTTTATTTAGAAATAGTACCTAATCCAACGCGATAATATATTGTCGGATACACTGAAAAATTATCTTCTTTCCTTTCCTTATTCTAAAATCTATGTAAATGTTGGAACGTTTAGAGATAGGTTGAAAACGCGATAATTGTCGGAGACACTATAAAATTATCTTTTTTCCTTCCTTATCCTAATCTACGAACACGTTGGACAGTTCATTTGTTACTCTGTTCGTTAGTGCAAAAGGAAAAGGAAAGAAAATAAATCTTTCAATCGATGTAATATTTTCTATTTTAATTTTATCAATTTTTATCAATATTTGTGCGAATAATATAGCGTTTGTATTTGTAAGTAAATAGTCGTCACGTGCAATAGTAAAATAAGATTCGTATGAAAAGTATTAAAAGATTTGTTGTCTTCCTATATTACATAAATTATAAAATTAAATTTAATATATATTATATGTAAAGAATTGGGAAATTCTTAATATACTCTTTTTAACGAAAAAGTTATTAGTTCGTAACGAGAATATTTTTCACAAAGTCACTATCGATTATTCTTAATTCATTTTGATTTAGTAAAGTGATTTCGATTATCAATTTTACAAACTGAACTACGAATTCCTTTTGATTCACCATATCACTCGCGTTCCCGGAAGTTATCGAGCATAAACGCGCTATATAGGGTGTCCCACTTAGAGAGTCACTTTTCATAAACTTTTTCGTCAGATATTTTATTAATGAAAAAGTAGAAGACCATCGTGCATTTGTCAGTCTTCAAATTCATTAAAACAATCTCCGAAAGACTTAAAGATCTTATTTTAATTCATTTTGAATCGGAGCTTTATTAGGACTCGAGTCTTCATTGAGAGACCGTGTGTTCCGACACAAGTCGAAAGCAGGAAAGAAAAGTGACTCTTTAAACACCTCGCACTTCGCGTCAGAGTGACTGGCCGGTCGATTGTTACGTAACACTCGTGAATCACGCGCCGCCGGCTAAAGCGGCACACAACTGGGCGAGATTGGGTCAAGAATAGTCGATGAACGAGGACGATGAAACGGGACGGTGCGCGACGATCCGACGCGATGAATGAAAATCCGTAACACAATGCTCACGTTTTCTCGGCGACCGCGCTCATCTCTCGGATAGGAAGAGATTGAGAGAGAGAGAGAGCTGATTTTTTTTCAAGCTGCTCCGATCCCGCTGGGGAGCAACGGCGGTTTATATCGGAGCGCTGCGCCGGCGGCGTCGCGTGCGTACTTACATTCGTATACGTGTATGTAGCAATCCTGACGTATGTTTACATCACATCCCCCGCGTCGACAGCGTTTACACGCGCGATAACAGCCATTTAATTATCGGGCTGTATTGCATGCTACTGATGCCGCAACTTTTAGCTTAGGGGATATATAAATTTCTAATATCTCAAAATATTTTAAAAACCTCGTTCTCTCGAACAAAGTAACAGACTATCCTTAATATAATATAAATCGTTTATCTTGTAATTTATATTACAACTATTTGTCACAAAAGTTTCAGGAACTTTATCTGAAACACACTTTCGACACAAAGACCGTATTTCTATTCTAAATGGATCCCGTTCTTCGCATATGCTGACCTTTACCCTGTTTTTATCTTTTCTAGTAATTCTAGAGTTTCTTTTTCCAGAGAATTGCTATACTTGGTATCGCGCTTTTGATTATTATTTTAATACTTTGTTTTCGCGAGTTGAGAAATCGGGTTACGTTATCAACAATTTTAATAGAACATATTACCATCTTATCGTCATAGGCTTAATCGAATAGAAACATCTTACCGATCCATCAAAATCACTGCTATCAAACGTAACGAAGAGTCTCGACACAATTTTGTTCATTTCAGGGCGATAAATTTCTTTTGCATATATCCCACAATATAGCCTTCTTAAATTAAAATAAACTACATAAAGCATTTGAAATTAGAGACAAACTTTATTGTGAGTGCTTATAACTAATACCTAAACGCCGTCCATGTTGCAGAATAGAAAAAATTTTATTTTCTTAACGGTAATCATGTTAAATATACAATGTAATAAAAATTCTTAAAATTAATTGAAATAAAGTTATAATTACGAAATTATGTACACTTTATACATGGAAACAGGTCTTGTATTCGTTAGCCCAAGCCAACAAATAGTCGTTTTCTTCGATATCCATCTTGAAATGGTGTAATTAGGCGACGGATAAACTTCCGCCAGCTTTGGAAATCTTTGCGATCTCTTCCTTGAATTTTGCGATAGTCTCTTTCGCCAGGGTCAATTTCTCTTTCAAATCTATCACTTCGAGTCTTATCTTGTTGCGTGCCTCCATGATGTCCTTCATCGTAGATTCCTTCAATGCCTCAACTGCAGGAATAATTATAAATTTGTTAAATTATCATCGAATTAATCCAAGGCGAGACAATTACAGCACAATTATACGAACAGTCTGTATTGTGTCGCCAAACCCCGAGCGTTATAGGTCTACTGGAACTTAGTAGATGTTGCATCAACGCGGTTGGATCTTGAAAAACTATCTCCTCGTAAAATTCGGACACTAGACTTTTCTTCCCCAACTGTATCTCAGGCGTCGATTGAAACAATTTCAGTATGTGATATATTGTTACCTGAAATTAATTCACTTTTTTTACGGCTGATAAAATAACACTCGGATTCGGCAAGTATCTTTCTATCTCTTAAACTTACGGGACGTTCGTTCGGATCGTGAAAGTAGATCTTAATGACTATCTCGAATTCTCCCCAGCCCGTTTCCGTCAACTCGTACGGCGGCTTCGTCACAATACGATTAGGATTGTTGTAACTCTCGTGCAATTTGAAATGCACCTTCTTCACGTAGGTGGACATATCCTCGTTGTGGTACGGCTTGACGTACACGGTCCATTGATGCGTGTGTCCATCCTCCTCCCTCTTCTTGCCAAAGTAACGTGCTACATTTCCGTAAACTATAGGCTTGACTATGGTAACGCCCTGTCACGAGCAAACCATTCAATAAAGTAACATGTCAAGTTTTAAAAATTAATTTTTATCATGCAAATGTTATGACGCCAAAATATTGTAGGTTATGTAATCAATATTATGTATGTTTTTTATTTAACTGAACTAGTATACATTCTCTGTACTTTAAGTGAAATAGATGTATTTTTGAAATTTAGCGAAAGCGAGAAAGGGAGTTATAGCGCGGTCCAACGCAGCAATAAAAAACAAACCTATCAATACAGTTATTCACTATTATTTTTTAGGTTACCTTTACTCTACCACCAGAATCTGGACCGAACTCGTTCGTAGATGCCATTACGTTCGTGATAAGCTTGAAAAATCACATATCTTTAATAAAGTCGCGATTCTGAAAAATTATTCGAACAACATTCTCTTTTTCAATGCTTCCAAGTTTTTTCTCATGTAAATTATAAATATTTACTGCAATTTTTTAGCGCTACGTAACGGACGCCGGAAATACTAGAAATCAATATGGCGGCGCATCAGCGCGTAGTTTAAATATAAATTCAATATATCGTTCATCGGGATATATTCGAAAATGTAGAATACATTTTTGTGAGAAAAAACTAATATCTTAGTAATTAAAAATAAAATTTTATTCTATACATCTCCGCTTCTTCGCCAGAAATATATCCTGTATAACTTTTTATATAATTTTCATAAACACGCTTACCTTTTATTTTTCCTCCTGCAATCTGTAGAAAAATATTGAAGAAGCTTACATCCTGATTAATATCTTGCGTTAATATTCGTCATGTATACCGAACAAAAACACATTCGTGTTCTGAATAAACAACGTGCAGTTCGCAGAATAAATCTCTCCTACATAACTCGTCAAACAGGAATATCTAAATCAGTAGATAAACTCATAAAATTGCATGTGTTATTTATTATATATATGTTTCTCATCGAGCGAGATACATATCCATAATCGAAATCCGTAATTCAGCTACTTAATATACAAGATCGCAACGTATATGTTAGACAACGGACTGAATTGTAACGTGTTCGTTAGCTTGAATCGGAAGTATTTATCGCACAATCTAAGGTATTGTACTATATGTCTCGAATACCTTTACGTAGTCGAGTGTATTATTATCAACGTCACAATTTTACGATACTTGGATCCGCCTCCTGGAAGTCTCTAAGCATCCGACAATTTTCAAGATGTTTGAAATATGGATGTAAAAAAAAAAAGAGAAGAAAAATCTGCTTTCAGATTCGCGAGAGCGCTTCGAAGTATCTGCCGAACGAGAAAGGGATACATAGGATTCTGTTGTGGAACCACATGTAAACATCGTGTAAGTATATTGTCTGTCAGACAATATACTTTTCTCCGGCAAGAAGCAAATACTTCAAGGCGCGCACTGGTCGAAGGACACACGCGCGAGTCCATACGCTTGTCTAGAAAAATCAATCTTGTCGTCTAAAAAACGCGTTATACACACGTTCATCAGGCTCTTCTCGTCGACGATCATCCCTGTATCACAATATGTTCTTCTCGCTACCTACCTAAACGCCAATCAAAAAATATAAAAATCACAAAACACACGCGCCGCAGCGTGTATGCGATCGTCGCACGGAACCTGCGTCGTCGCGGAGGATCTTCCACTCGTGCCCTATGGGCTTTTCATAGGGCACACCGTCGATCGCGCTTCGTCTCTAGCTCGCTTTTTGACACGTGTAGGAAGAAAAGGGCTCGGATGCGCGCTGATTCACGTACGCGAGAAGGGGCGGGCGGCAGCCAGCTGCCGAATCTATGCTGCTTCAGTGTCTCGGTATATCAACGGTAGGGAATAGCTGCGTCGTGCTTTACGAAATTCGTTGTTATCACGTGCGTAGTAGCTTCCCCTTCCCTCGGAATTGCTCGTCTAGATATCCCGGGATCTGAAAATTGAAAAGTTCCACAACGGGCATTTTAGCGTTTAGCCGAGATACGTGCGCTGCGGAGAGAAAAAGAGCAATCTACATGATAAACGCAGACTGAGAAGGATATATGTTTCTCTATCGAGGATACATGCTCTACCAGATTTGCCACAAAGAGACTTTATTAGCATTGAAACAATCGAGATCAGCTGCTATGCTACAGCTCCGACCTTTGAGCCTTTAATGGATAACTTTGCCCTCGCGGTGCTATCGTTATCTTACGCAAGAATATATGTATAATATTGCACATGTATAAGTATAATTTGCCTTGTGTAAGGAGATACAATCCATTTACGTGTGTCGTCTACACTTGCATTCTGTTAATCCTCTATAGATATATTGCCCGAATATAATTAATCTCATAAGTTTTTTAACTAAAAGATACAATCTTCAAAAATATATTATTCTATCGTAACTGAATTCGTTACTTTTCCTAATCGATCGGAATATATGTTTAATTTTCTACATAATTATCGACAACCATTACATTAATAAATATAAATTCTAAAAACTGTTGTCATCGTATCGCTGTGAATAAGCTTAATATATGAATACATATTAGTGTTTAGTACCATAACAATTTCGCAATATCGATGCTTATACTTGTACTTTCTGAAAAAATAGCACAGATAAATATAAATACAGATTAATAATTGTCCAGCAAGAATATGATTGTAAAAACAATCTTTTAACAATTCAAACAAGGCTAACATTATGTGACGTTATATAACAACATGATTTTATATAACGTAAACATATAAAATTTATAGTAAAGCACACAGGTAACACGTTTGTGTCCCAGATCCATAGGAAAAATGCATGCGACGAAATTTTATGGAAGTTCATAAAAGTGGTTTGTTTTTTGACGGATGCAAATGATTTCAGGATGAGGTTTTGATTAGATACAAGAAAATAACTCGTTTTTTCCACTATAGCTAACAGTGTCAGGTACTCTGGGAACATTAAAACATAAGCGACGCATAGGAATTAAATATTTTATCGGTGTAGAGTTTCGGTACCGGAAAATTAGCAAGCAAGCGGGAAGGTACTTGCTCTCGCCATCTCCATTCTCAGCAAATAAAGCACGCTCGAGGGAGGAAAACACAGTTGTTACGACTTTGATATGATAATTTCTACCTTTGGTTTCGGCCGATGAGTGTCCACGGCGTCTATCGGCAGGTGAATCTTTTCCATCTTGCAGCCGTAGGCGACCGGTGTTAATTTCACAATGGTATGCAAAGGTACTTCTAAGTACGGTAATTCATCTGAAATAGGAAGACCTTGATCTGAAATAGGAACAATTTGGACCAACCATATAGAAATAAAAAAACGGACAGCTCGGATATTTGTTTCTGCGTGTTAATGGTCGTATTAAAGAAGAATTTGTACAAAGAGAATAAGAACAGCTACTCCGCCACACGATCGAGCAGACAATTACGTCACTATAATCCGCTTTTGTGTGCACGACCATTTATCATTTATTTTCTCGATACATTTTAATACGTCGAAGGTCAAAAGTTGCACTTAGCGTCTCGATACTCCAATATCTCCATTCTTGAGCGTCATCACGTGCTCAGGCGTGTTACGCATCGAGCACTGACGACTCGAATCATTTTATTTGCACATGCAATTAATCGAGAACAGATTTCAATATCCTATGAGATATTAAATAATAATAAATAAATAATAAATTATGAGATATATACTGACCTGCATTTTTGTCCAAGAAGTACGCGAGTAAACACCGTATGACCGCTTGATGACAGACGACTAAAACGTTACCCTGACGTTCCAGCTCCATTATCACGGGCTCCAGTCGTGCAACGAGATCTTCGTAACTCTCCCCTCTTGGATAACGATACGAGAATTTGTTTTGATCTCTCGCGGCAAAGTCCGTAGGATATTTCGAGGCGATTTCTTCATAACTCATCTCTTCACAAATACCCTGTGATTCACAAAGAGAGGCAAAGATGAGAAATTGATTAATTAGCTAATCTATCCAGCGCTGTAACTTACGGCGTCAATTTCGTTGAGAGCCTTCCACCTTTCCTGCGGTGCCTTTACATCAACCGCGGTCTGAATGGTTCTCTTCAGCCAGCTAGTCCAAACTCTTAAACCCTATATGCAGATACAATGTCGTTTAACTGTTTAACATAACACGGGATAAGATTACTTCAAGAGTCAAGTGATCGCGATCAAAGTAACATGCGGAGAACAACAATGCTTTACATAATTCATGTAAAGTATGCACATTTTAATCTTTGAATATGTAGTATTTATCCTCAATTATAATTTTCTTAAATGGTCGTATCTGTTTATCTTCATATTATTAAAAAACGGAACTATAATGATCAGAATCAAAATTAAATAACAATTTTTATTGCGATATATATATATATATATACATATATATATTTATATAAAAGCATATAATAATTAAATCGATAAATTATATGTTGAAAAGGTCAAGGAAAGCTACCTGTATGTTCTGATTACTGATATATTCTGCTAATGCCTTGGCATATTCATGTCCCCGCTCGCTCAAGTCCGAATCGCCGCCTATCCTGCCATCGATGTTCATCAGGCTCTCACCGTGTCTGGTCAAGTAAATCGTGCGTGGCACAATATGAATGTTCATAAGATAGTAAACTATTCTACTTTGTATATGGCCTTCGTGCTTATGGACCAGCACCTTCTCGCCAGTGTTGTATATTTTCATGAACGACAGGTCGCTTTCGCGCTCCTCGTCCAACGGCTGGTATTTCTCCTGATAGTGCTCGATTCGCAGCATGAAATCCGCGAGCACATCCTCCTTCTTCATATTCGCGTAATCCGGACTACTGACTTTTACCTTGCAATAGAAATCATCTTTATGGTACATATAAATTTGTGAATCCTATATTTATTAATATAAATCATTAATTGTTAATTTACGAGAGACTGTGACGTAATAATAAACCGGTACTTCCATAATATTCTGCTCAACATTCTTCAAAACCATTTTTACAATATTAATCTTATTAATCGCAAAAGTTAAACTGGAGAGAGTTGATATTAATTAATTTTTATATATGTAGTGTACAGTATAACATTGTCCAGCTGGCTACCTTCTGTTTCTCAAGTACATACTTCCATAATATTCTGCTCGACGATCTCCGGATCATTGCACACCGACTCGACGAAGAAGAGCTTGAAGCCCATCTGGCATACGACGATGTCGCGTATAAGCTGGCGTCTCTCGACCGTCGAATTGGTGGCGTCGAAGACGGCCACCTCGCCGTCGCCGCTCTCCAGCCACTGGCACACGTCGTTCAAAGCGTCCTTTGCGCACTGCGTGCGTATCGCCATGGCCTTTATGTTGTCGGGACGGAAGAAGTCGTGGCATTGATAGGCCGTGGTGGCGTGCCGCCTGTACTCGCCCAGGTTGAAGACCTTCGTGTTGATGCCGATCCAATTGAGATATCGGCACAGCTTCTTGGATATGTAGGTCTTGCCGCGAGCCGGCAGCCCGACCATCGCAATCACATGAGGCTTGTTCACGAAATTCGCACGTTCACCTACGGAGAAGATGAAAATATGAAAATTACGTATCTAATAGAATTTGATATTGGACGAGAAATAAATTCCAGGAAATTAAATACATGAGAAATCGTTAATCCCTTAACTGACCGAGTTATTTCTGTTTCATCTGTTTAAATTGAATGTTATGTCATATTGATTTTAATGCCAGTTATACAATAACCCAAAATCCGCTTCAATATTACAGTATCAAGATATGCCAAATTCCGTTTCCGCGCGACAGATGTTCGTTCTGATTTCGCAATTAATATATTATCAGCTGTAATTTTGCTAGAACTGTGGTTTACAGTTTTATGTGTGCATGTACACACACACACACGCACGCGCGCGCGCACACACACACACACACACACACACACACACACACACACACACACACACACACACACACAAAATTAAAATTATAACACATAAATGTTACATATATATATATATAAATATATATATATATATATATA